AGGTGTTTTTACATCTGGAAAGGAAACTGCTATGTGTAAGTGGATACTGTTTCTTCATGTAAGGCTGGGAATGGACATGGATGCCTGAAGCATATTGATCCCTAGGTCCTCCCTGTCACAGGGGGGGACCATACTTCTACTCTGGTTGGCTAGGTATGATCAGATGAGTAGTTCTGAACCATAAGTCTCAGCAGAAACAACATGAGACTATTAGAGCTCTACACATTCTGCCATATAGAGGAGAAAACATACTGAAGCAATTTCTGTCACCCTGGATGACTCCAATAAGCACAGTGTGCCATTAGTGTGTCCTTCATGCATGGGGTAAATGTCCTTATAACAATGACTCCAGGGAGGCATCCTGCTTCTTCCATCACGTGAGCACCCAATGAGAAGGTGCTCTCTGTGAATGAGGAAGCAGGCCTTACCAGTCACCAGATATGGAACCTGTGAGGAAAAGAAATGTAGAAGCCAGCTCCCATTACTGGAAGATTCTTTTGATTACAAGGACCCAGTTTATGGTATTTAATTACAGCAGCATAAACAGGTTACAGTGTCTACTCATATCGGACATGAGGTGGAAATAAGAAAAAGATTCTTTGCTGTAATCTCCTGAGATCCGGGCTTGTTACAACCTAACCTATCTTGACTGACACAAGATTTAGAGTGTTATTTGAATTTTATACAATGTACACTTACTGTTTTGATGAATCAAAAAATTGACGAGACTAACTTAAGGAATAAGACATCCAGCCACCAAGCACTGGCTATTTCAGCAGGCTGTAACGGCTGTCCTTGGGCAGAGAACTCTAAGTTGTTACAGGCATTGGGCATAAGTGCACATGCCTACCCTGTTGTTTTCAGGCCTTTCTCTGCTTTCCTTTGGTATCACGGTTTGGAGAGTGGTACACTGAATTAATCTTGAATTGTGGATATAGCTTGCTTTCCACAGTATCTCGTGTGCTGGATAAAGGTAAACTAAAAAGGCTGTCTTGATGGAGCCAAGTCTTGTCTCTTTTGACCTCTATTTGTGTCTAATCCTTTTCTCTGCTGAGTGAAGAACGAAGGATTATAAAAAGGTATTTTACAATTCTTTTGTCAAAAAGATTTTTCCTCTCTGTAAATGATCAATTGTGTTACTTGGTATGATTTTGTTTCTATTTCAAAATGTTTCATGCTATATTTCACATTGCCTTGGAGTATTTGTTATATAGAATGAATCATAACCATTATATTGTCCCAATTGTTTCTAATAGATTGACTTTATCCTGTTGATACATTAAAAATGCCTTGCACATCTGGTTATGAAATTATCATTGTTGCTGTTTTTAATTCCTATACAAATAATTAGTCTATAGGTGATTAACCCATTTATTCCAGTAACTGGATTCTGATTTTCATCTTTCTTTTTTTTTTGTTGATATCAATCTTCGTATATAATCATTATAGGGAAATGCAGCCATATTATAGGTTGAAAATCAAGTTAAAATATTTTGAAGCTTTTGAAATAGTGGAAGATCCCCCCAAATGCCAGCAAACTGAATGGAAATTATACATTTGGAAAGTGCTGTTCTTATTAACCAAGGACTTGGTATATCTATGTTTATTTTGAGGGAATAATATATAATTCAAAACAAAGATCTAATGTAATCTCCTGGATCCTTTCTCTCCTGTAAACTGGTCGGTTATAATGAAAGCAGAAGTTTGCTTGGATTCAATCACTGATTTTGCAGCAAGAAAACCTTATAGATGGATCTCTGTACTTCTATAAGAAAGAAAAATACAGTAATCTTAAGAAAGCATTCTAACTGAAAATGTCAGTGAATGCTTCCAAAAAAATAACTTTGAGAGTCTTCATGTTCAGGTGACATGCACTCACTAGGCTTCTATGTAGCTCCAATTTTCCTTTCTAACTTGTAATTCTCAAAACACTTTCATTGAAAAACAAAGCCATAAGAAAGGAACTCATCTCCCCCAGACTATAGCAATGGAGAGCACAGCATTCTCATCTGTTTCTGTTCACTGGCTGTCTTGTTAATGGCTTAGTGGTAAGTCCTACAAATCACACATAGTCCACTTCTCTGGCAAAATGAGTTCTACATATATAGGTCTTAGACTGTGAATAGGGTATTTATGCAGTACATTTTCTATTGCTGGGCAGGTCAGCTGCCATCTACCATCCAATTCTCTCTTTCAGGACACCTGCAAGAATGGTATTAACTCTCCCTCTTCAAGGTAGGCAAGAGCACATGTAAAAGGTTTTCTTTTCTGCCACAAACCAGCTCCCAAATCATAACATGAGATTTATTATTAACTATGAAAGCTGGTCTTAACCTATGCTTGTTCCCACAAGCTCTTATAACTTAATTTAACCTGTTTCTCCTCATCAACATTTTGCCTCAAGGCTTTTTACCTTTCTTTCATTCTGTATGTCCTACTTTTCCTGCTTCTTCCTTGTCTGTCTGTCTGTCTGTCTGTCTGGCAGCTGCCTGACTGGCCCCAGGCATCTCCATCTTTTTCTCCCTCATTCTCTCTTCTCTTCCTTGAGCCTAGATTGCTCCTCCTACTTACTCTTTCTGCCAACCAGCCCCCACATCCCTCTACTACCTAGCTATTGGCCATTAAGCTTTTTATTAGACCAACCAGTTGCCTCAGGCAGGCAAGGTCAAACAGCAACACATCTTTGCATAATTAAACAAATGCAGCATAAGCAAGAGTAACATACCTTCATATAGTTAAAGTAATAGTCCACAACAGGCACATGACCAAACCCAGTTAATGCTATTTTTGTGGAAGTGTTGATTTATAGCAAAGAATATATGAAGTTATAGCTACTTGGTAAATGTATTTCAAGCAATGACAATTCAAATCCAGCCCAAGGAAACAAGATGGTTTTTGAAGTTGGTTTTGATGAGATTCTCCACAGGACCTCAGATTGGGAGATTCATAGCCTGGAACCTGCATGCTACATGCTAAATATATATTTGTTGAGTGGATGAACAAGAACTGTGGGAATGACTGAATGATCATAATTGTAGTATCATGCTTTATTAAAATTGTTCTTATTTTCCTTCTAAGTGTATATGAACATAAAAATCATAATTTATAAAAAGAAAATGTATTACTAAATAAGACTAGCAGTAATATCCTGGATTTTCACACAAGGTTAAAACAATATAAGGAGAAAAGGTTAGTAGGTTTTGCCTTCTCTTCCTGAAACCCTTAAGGAGATGGTCTAGAGATCAATGTTTATTATTAGAGAAAAAAGCAGTAATTTTTCTTTTATTTAAGTGACTTGGAGCTGTTGAATGTCTGTGTTCTGCCCTAATTCAGATGTTGGCATTCCAACCACCAATGCAGTAGTATTTGAAAGTGGACAATGGGAAGTGATAGGTTCACATGGAGTCATAAAGGTTGGATCCATCTTGATGGAATTAGCGACTTTACAAGAACAATAAGAGACTACAGAGCTTCTCCGAGTAGGAGTACCATGTCTGCGAGCCAGGAAGAGAACTTGCAGTAAGAACCAAGTGAATCCCAACCTTGATCTTGAACTTCCTAGCTTCCAAAACTGTGAGAAATCAATGTATTTTGGTTAAGCTGTATTATTTTATTATGACAGCCTTGAGATTCAGTCACAAGTCAAATCCTAATGTCTCAACTATAAATGTGATATTATTTGTCATTTTCCTTTGCTTTCATCAACCATTCTGTAATTATGCAGGTGCTGCAGAGATGGCTCAGTGGGGAAGGGTGCTTGCCACTAAGGCTGATGACCTGACTTTGATTCTTGGAACTCACACAATAGAAAGAGAGAACCCAATCCCATAAATTATTGTCCCCCAAGTTCCACGAGTGAGTCATGGCATGCACATAACACACACACACACACACACACACACACACACACACACACACACACACTCATATTAAATGTTCAGAAAATTTGAAATCAGAGGCCACTATAGGCAAATGAAATAAAATGTCCATCAAATTACCAGACTCATCAAGTAGTTTCTGACAGAGGAAGCAATGACTTGTCCAGCTACAAAATTAGTGTTGCAACACTTGCTAGTAGACACCAACATAAGCTGGTGTACTTAGGTTTTATATATTGTAAATATGTGGAAATGTTCACTGTTCACTAAAAACTTCCAGTTTTGAAAAATAATGTTCAATAATTTAGCCATAGTTTAAACTTTTTAAAATGTGCTCTTATTTTCCTCATGGAGGAGCTTACCAGTTGATTATCCAATAAAAAATGGGTCAGATCTGAAAATATGTTACCATGATGGACAAGTGCATGTGGGAGTTTGGAGAAGGGAAAGTGAAGGGGGAAAATGATACAATTATAAGCTCAAAAAGAAAATAAAAAGAAAATATTTTAAAGAAAAGACCCACCTCCCAAAAATGCTCTACAGTGATCATATTAAATCTCACAGCCTTGTTGTTTGTGGTTTTGCTTTTTTTTTACTTTGTTTTCATTATTGATGGACAGAGAAATTATGGAAAGAATAATCTTTCCTTATAAACAGAAGCATTTTCATGGAAATTCAGCATTTGTACTGACAAAGAGTGATAGGAATAAATTCTTTAACTGTCATTTCAAAAGCCCACATGAATTAAGAATTCTAACTATTAGTTAGCAATCTGCTATGTGCCATGCCAAATGAAAAGCTGCTGTCATAATTCACTAGATAATGTTTAGGTTTTACACCAATTTGATAAATTAACCTCATGTACAAGAACACCACAAATCATAACTTCATTTGCCATGTGACAGCAGTAAACATGGCATACCTTCGGGTGACCTTTCTCTAAAGATGCTTCTCACTGTTCACATTTTATATGTCAAATGGTACTTTCTTTGAGAAGCAAATTTAAATGCCATTATAGGGAGAAGCTACCAGCCTGGGACAAGTTCTAGCATTTAGTATTCTGACAGATCTTAACTTGGACATCAGCCAAGGTCAATAAAACTTGTTCATGCAGAACCTTACCTGGTTTTCACCACGTCGAGAGGGTGCATCAGACTAATTTCTACAAGACCTGAAAGATGATAAAGAAAATGCCAGTGAATCCACCGATTCCTTATTGATTCCAAAAATTAAGATTCAAACAAATAATTTAGATGGAGAGGGGGCGGATTTAGGGGAAATGGGAGGTGGCAGGGAGGAGTGGGGGAGGGGAACCTGTGGTTGGGATGAATTGTATAGGAGAAGAATCTACTTCTCAATAAATAATAATTAAAAAGAACTTAGAACTTTGAACAGAACAGCTAGTAGAAGTAGCTATCTACCTAATACTTTTATTTCAATGAGAGAAAGAGCTGACCATGTATTTTCTTATAACTCTGGCAGGGAGGTGGGGCTATGGGGAAAGAAATGAAAAAAAACATACAATCAGATTAAAGTACAACTAATCAAACAGAAATTCTGTATCCTAACCCAGTTGCAGATAAGTATAAGTAGAAGGGAGAAGAGGGAGAAGTTTGAGTTCTTCCACTGACATGGCAAAATGTAAGGCTTGATTCTCACATCCATGAAACAAAGATGAATGTGACTCTTGTGAGCATCCTACATATCATTACCTCAATAGAGGACATATACCAAATTTACATTGTGTGTCACAATTTTATGGATAAGGTAATTGAAGTTGAAGCATAGAAAGTTAAATAACTCTCCTACAATGCCACAAATAGTAAAACATTTTGTTCTTTTGGTGTGCCTGTGTGTGTGTGTGTGAGTGAGTGAGTGTGTGTGTATGTGTGTGTGTGTACACCTGTGTAAATGGGGTTCTTAATCTGTCTAAGTAATAAAAACCTGGAGTTAGATATTAAGGGCAGCAAGACCAAGTGAAAAGAAACTCCGTCAACACACCTGAATGCACAAATATCATGGCATGTATGTGGAGATCAAAGAACAATTTATACGAATAGGTTTTCTCTTTCCACTATGTGGGTTGGAATCCAACCCAGTTCTTTAGGCTTTGGTGCCAAGAGCCCTTACACTCTGAGCCTCCTTCTGGCTCAGTTTTTAATAAGATGCTGATGCCTCTATGAGTAAATGACTATTCCCTAGAGGTATCAGGAAAGGAAATCTGGTTGATTGTTATTTCCAGATGAATGTGAATTTTCAAGTAAGGAGAAATGTGTGGGGACCTTACAAGTTGACCAGGTGCACCAATACTGTCTTGAGTAACACATCTTTACTAATAAAGAAAGTCTTTTCGTTCATATTCATGTAAACTGTGTATAAACACATTCCCATGTATAAGTATGAGACAACATGGGGAGCTAACTTACAAGCAAACTCAAACTGAATTAATTTGCAAATGCAGTAAGTGTTCTGCCCATGAGGGGCTACCTACAAATACTGTACTGTTGTGTAACCTCTGGGAAAGCCAGCTGAGTACTTAAACCTTCACTTACACAGAAAATGATGATGCTTGCCCACAAACAGATGTGCATGTCTGTGATAACACATGATGATGACCATCTCTGGATAGGGGTGCCAGGTAAAGTAACTACTGTGACCACTGTTACTGTAGCTCTTACAGGTACCACAGTTGTTTTTATAACTGCTACACTGTAATGCTACTTACACTTCTACTGCCACATGCTGGTAATTTATAATCCAGCAGTTTCTTGCAAGAGAAAGCTTTCTTTTTCTCCTACAGTTTCATCTGTAAGAAGCTATCTCTTCTCTTAGTGGCTAAAGCTATGATCATAGGCTTTTAACAATTATAGTTTTCAAAGAAGAGAAAGAACAAAGGCATCAGGGTTGCAAGACACAGAGGCAAGGCCTCTGGGGCAAACCTTTATCTTTATTAATAAAGTTGAATTACTTAAGACTGTCATGGTGGATCTTGCAATGTTCCCACACAGTTATCCTTGCTTGAAAATTCACATTCATCTGAAAGAGTAAGATAACCAGAATTCTTTCCCTAGTTCCTCTAAGGAAGGCATTTATCCATGGGGTCATTATTTCTTATCCATAAATGGTAGGATTAAGTGGCCTGAAATAAATTGAAGATTTAAAAGTCTGGGTTCTCCTGTTCTTGAATTCAACCTGAACAAGCATATATACATCCAGATAATATATAGTTCAAATTTAAGGTTTGTTAATAAGGATTAAAGCCATAATCCAATAAACAAAATTGACCCTAGAAACTCAACCTTTAAGACAGCACTGTTAGCTGGGCAGTGGTGGTGCACACCTTTAATCTCAGCACTCAGCAGGCAGAGGCAGAGGGATCTCTGTGAGTTTGAGGTCATCCTGGTCTACAAAGTGAATTCCAAAACAGCCAAGGCTACACAGAGAAAACCTGTCTCAAAAAACAAAACAAAGCAACAACAACAACAAAAAAAGTAAAACAAAAACACCCTGCATTGTTACCAAGCACTACCATAGTCATCAATAAAGCGAGGTCATGCGAAGAAAACGTGGGCTTGCTTGCACAGCAAGTGCACAATGCTGCTCTCACTCTCCTGACATTAGAGGAAAAGGGAACAGACACTAAATACCAAATAGCACCACATGGTATATCACTCAGAAGGTTTACTAAAAGAACCAACAACCCCAACCACTAATTAGAATTAATATAATAGCAGAACTGGGAAAATCAGTTTACATGAATCTAAAACCATTTTCTTATTTGCAAAATTGTCCTACTTTCCTGCAGACCATATCTTATAATTTTGTAGTTAAGCTATTTTCTAATCTCTGGTTTTCAACAAACTTCCCTGTATTCCTCCAGCAATTTCACATTGGTTGCCCCCTGTGTGTCCAGCATTGAGGATAGAGCCTAGCAAGACAACAGGTGGGATGCCCTGTTCAGCCTTGAGGCAATGGGGAGGAGTTTGGTCCTCCCTCAACTTGATATGCCATGCTTTGTTTATTCCCATGGGAGGCCTTACCCCATCTGAATGGAGACAGAGGTAGAGTGGATGGGAAGGGGTAGAAAGAAGGAGGGGGAATAGGAGGAGAGAGGGGAGGATATGTAAAATAAATAAATATGGCAAATAAAATAGCATGAGCATGAGGAATAGAGGATAGGTGCTATGCACACACACACACACGCATGCACACACGCACACACACACACATACACGAGGAGAAGGAGACAGAATTGCTCAACCCTTATGGCAGCATAGAGTTGAAGGTAGATATGAAGTTGGAAGGAGATGAGACTGGAGTGTAGATTATGGTCAGGATCATTGCTAGGCATTTGTACTTCATCCCATGGGCTACGAGAAGGCAGTAAACGGACTTTTAAATTACCCTGTTGGATATGTGACTGTTATGTTGTCTCCAATGTATTTCATGTTCACTGGAGACATTCCAACAGATTTTAAGAGGAGTGATAGTAACCCAAGGCCATATGCTGTTATTGGTCTAACCATGTGCACTTTTAATCTTGCTACTACCAATCATATTTTATCATCGGCCAACAAAAACACTGATTTTCCATTTTCCCCTTGGTTTACCAGTTTTTCAGCAAAGGACCTGCTGTCATCAAAGCACAGACATCATGGCGTTCTACCACCTCTCAAAGTCAGTTTTATGGGATTTAGAATTACCATAGAGACACATGTCTGGTTGTATCTGCGAAGGTGTTCCCTGACAGGATCAACTAAGGAGTGAAAATTTATCTCTAATTGTGGACGTCACTATTCCATAGGCTGGGATTCAGGGTTGCACAAAAAGAAAAATGAGCATCGGCATTTACCTTTCTCCTTTGGGCTGTGGATGCTGTGTGATCAAGTGCTCACCCTCCTACCACCATGATCTTCTCAAGGTGGAAGGCAAAACCAACTCCTTCTTAATTGCTATTGTGAGGTATTTGGAAAGGTATTTTGTCAGGTATATCGGGTACTACTATACTTCATAGGAGTCAATGTTTATCCATGAAACTACCTACCAATTTGTAACTAGGACAACAGAAAAAAATAATGGCTTAAATTGCCAAATGTAACATATTTGGTCCAGAATAATAGTTTGGTTATTTTTTTTTAATTTTTAACCAAAGCGGGTGATTATAGACTACAAATTAGTAACAACATATATTTTAATTAGAGAAAACATGAGCATTGGAAATGATATGGAGGTTGTATAACTGTTATCGGAATTCACAATTAAATCTAGATTCCCTAGAGGGAGAGGAATGCTGACCCTCATCAAGCAGCTAGAGATCATGAGAGTATGAGAGTAACCATAAAAATAGAATAAGAGAATGTGAAGTGACCTCAGGGTGGTGAATTTCACATGGACTTCTTGATAATTCTATTATTTAGTATAAAGTCACAGACTGATTAAGAAGCTAGTGAACACAGCTGAAATGTTAACATAAGAGGGTAACACAAATGGCCAGTTCCATTTAATCCAACCTAATTGCCAATCCAAAACATGTTGATCTAAAGAAAAAATTGTTTTCCTCTCCCAACCTGACATTTATTAGATGCAGCAGACACAAATGAATACAAAATCAGACAGTTTCATCTCTCTACTGATTTAAAAACTGCACTGTCAAGCAACCATAGAAACTCTTCCTGGGGAGAAGTTTGAATATCACAGCCTCTTATGAAGAATGTGAAAACATCCACACAAACCTAAAGAAGATATTTGGACCAGTCCTTCCTTAGCAGAAGCTTTTTCTAGTCATTTTAAAATTTATACTTAGTAATTGATCTTGACACAAGAACAACAGTCAATTTAGGAGCAAAACGTCTTCAAATTGTGCTTAATTCAACAAAGTTTTAGATTATATGAATCTACAATTAAAAACTAAAAGATTGCAGATAGATCCATATCTATCACCATGCACAAAACTTAAGTCCAAATGGATCAAAGACCTCAACATAAACTCAACCACACTGAAGAGAAAGTGAGGAGTACCCTTGAATGAATTGGCACAGAGACTACTGAGATCAACAATAAATGGGACCTCCTGAAACTGAGAAGTTTCTGTAAGGCAAAGGACACAGTCAGCAAGACAAAAAGGCAGCCCATAGAATGGGAAAAGATCTTCACCAACCTCATATTTGACAG